TGCTGTTGTTTTTGCGAATAAGATATAAGATGTTCCATCGATACTCATAGGTGCAATCCCTATGTTCACCGATGTTGATGTTTGTGGTATTTGCTATACTTGTGGTGCTGTGTTACGGGTGCAATGAATCGAGGTAGCGAGGATTGCACTAAGTTGTTAAACGAGTACATTATGTCAGCAAAGGCATGAGCGAACATTTATACGCGAAACATGCAAACGGTAATGCGGTGCGTGCAAGCTAGCTAGTGCTAGGCTGGCATCGAGGCTCGGGCTAGTCCTGAAGCATAGGCCGACACGGACGGGCAAGTGGTGCATGGTTTGGTGAAACAGTGCGCGCAAAGTTGGCGAAGCCCTATTAGCAGTAACGGGCGAACAACTGCTGCTGCTGTACGTGATGTTGCAGGTCGCGGTAAGGAATGTCGAGAAATTTTCTTACACTTACCCCCCCCCTTCAAGAAGCCCCCCTCTGCTACGCGAGTGCATTATATCGCGGAAACCCCGGCTCCTCAGGTACACTTGTAGGGCAGGGTGGTTTTCAATATTGGCCAGGGCACCCAGCTATCCTCAGTTGGCGCGCGGTCCTTCCAGCGAACGAGGAACTCGACCCTCTTGATGCGTGTGGGGTGTCGAATCCGATGGCTCATGATTTTTTTGGGCTCGATGATCGGCTCCGATGCAAGGCGAGTCATGGATGGCGGGCAGTGATGAGGCAATTGGCTCGTGGTTGGGATGTACGCGCGAAGCAGGCTGACGTGGAATGATGGGCTGATGTACGAGTCTGTTGGCAACAGAAAGTGGGCGGTAACCGGGGTGATCATGTGGCTGATTTGGAATGGTCCATAGTAGCGCGGTCGTAATTTCGGCACGACGGGCAGTCTTTAATTCTGTGTGTCGAGCAGTGCGTAATCTCCTGACTCGTACGTGACTGGGCGGCAGTGGCGGTCAGCGTTGCGTTTTGCGATGACGTTGGCCTTTTTATTGCTTCTAGTGCGGGCAGCTTGCAGAATCTTGGCAAATTGCTGTGCGTGTGGCGTTGGCTTGTCCGGACTCAACGTCATGAGCACTGTTGGGTTTTGCCCATAGTTCAGGTAGAACGGGGACTGCTGCGTCGTTGCTGACGTAGCGTTGTTGTAGGCGAACTCGATCAGCGGCAGAGGCTTCTCCCAAGTTTTCAGGTCGTCGCACGTGGCCCGGATCAACTGCTCCATCGTCTGATTGGTCCGCTCCGTTTGGCCGTTGGTCTCGGGGTGGTACGATGAACTGAATTGTAGCGTGGTCCCAAACTGCTCCCAGAGGTTCTTCCAAAAGTTGCTTGTGAACTTCGTGTCGTGGTCGCTGATTATCGAGGCTGGTATCCCGTGCAGTCGAACGACGGCTGCGATGAACAGACGAGCGATTTCTTCGGCTGAGATCGATTTCTTGCACGCAGCGAAGTGAGCCATTTTCGTCAGTCTGTCAACGACGACCATTACCGCGTCGTTACCCCTAGGGTTCGAAGGTAACCCTGTGACGAAATCCATGGTAACCTGCTGCCAGGAGCGCTCGGGCAGTGGAATCTGTAGTGACTCCCTCTGTAGTGAGTACGCGCGTACCCAGATGTGGTTGGTGCATGTTTTTACGTAACAGATTCCTTAGCTTCTTCTAGTTGCTGTGAATTTCAGGTCGTGAAAAATGGGTCGGTACGGTATCCGTGGGTGAATAGGCCTGTTAGCAGTGGGTCGTTTTGGGCGAGTAGGATGTCATGAAGTTGGGCGGTGGGGCGTGTGAGTGCGTCGGCGATATTTGATGCGCCTTTTTTGTACGTGACTGTGTAGTGGAAGTTGGACTCCAGATAGTCCAACCAGCGGATCTGTCGCAGGTTGAGATTCGGTTGGGCGCTAAGATACTGTAGTGATCGGTGGTCTGTCCGTACTGTCGCGTCTGCTCCTGAGAGGTAACATTGCCACACCTTGAACGCGTGCACGATCGCTAGCGTCTCGCGGTCGTGTATTGGATAGTTGTGTTCGGGTGGGTGAAGCTTGCGGGACTCGTACACGATTGGCTGGAGGCCGTTCTCGAAGTCCTGCAACAGTACTGCTCCCACGGCGATGTCGCTAGCGTCGGTGACGAGCTCGAACGGACGGGGCGGATCTGCGATGTGAAGCACGGGCGGCGAGCACAAAATTTGTTTGAGGGCCGAGAAGGCAGCATGTTCTTTCTCCCCCCATGTGTACTCAACCCCCTTTCTCAGCAGGTCGATCAACGGAGCAGTCAACTTCGCCATGTCGGGGACGAACCGGCGCACGTAGTTGACGAACCCCAAAAAGCTCTGCAACTCGGTCAAGTTTGTCGGCGCGTGCCACACTTGAATTGTCGCGATCTTCTTCGGGTCTATTTCCACTCCTTTAGCTGAAATAATGTGTCCCAAAAGCTCCAGTTTGTCCTGTAAAAACTCACACTTAGAGGCTTTTGTCAGTAGGCGGTTCTCACTCAGTATTTTAAAAACTACTTCGATGTCCTGTAGGTGCTGTGCTCTGTCTGGGATGTATATCAGTATGTCATCGAGATGCACGATGACGCACTTATCTAAAAGCGGGCGGAAGGCTTCGTTCATGGTCATTTGGAAGGTGGCGGGGGCGTTGGTCAGTTCGAAGGGCATGACGGTTTATTCGAAGGATCCGTAGCATGTTCGGAAGGCTGTATTTGGGCAGTCGAGTGGGTTGACTCGGATTTGGTGGTAGCCTCCTCGAAGGTCGATTTTCGAGAAAACCCTGGCTGTGCGCAGTTGGTCGATCAGTTCGTCGGCTCGTGGGATGGGGTAACGGGACTTGATGGTAACCCTGTTCAGTGCGCGGTAGTCGATGCACATGCGAAAACCCCCGTCCTTCTTCGGTTTGAACAGTATCGGTGTTGCGAAAGGTGACGAACTCGGGCGAATGAATCCCTTCTCGAGCAGGTAATCCAGTTGCTTCCTTAGTTCGTCCAGTTCAGGCTGGGTCAGTCGAAACTGTTGCTGTACTGTCGGCTGTGCCCCCAGTTCTAATTCTATCCCGTGGTCGTGCGGTCGCTGAGGGCCAGTTCACACCTGGTTAAGTAATACACTCAATGTTGGTTACACTTTTACTCTTGGTGCCAACCAAGAGCTTTCAAACTATGCTGCAGAGCTTCGTTAGGCTTTCGCTCTCAGCGTGTCGCGTCACGGCGATCTTGGGTACTCTCCTTAGGTTGGTCATCCTCCTCATTCTCGTTTTCTAGCAATGCCTGCATTTTGCTGTGCATGGTTCCAATGCGCTTTAATCAGGATGTAATAAGGGATTAATACGAAGATTTCTCTGTCCTCCTCCATTTCCTACGAAAGCGTGACCTAAGCGCGTCTCCTATTCCGGCTCCTACTACCGTTGGTCCTGGCTGAAGTAGGATGCACAGCCAGACACTCTTGGAGTAGGGATCGACGACTCGATAACTATTAGGTTCGTTAGCCTCTTTCAAGTTAATCACGCATGACATTCCTGATAACTTGGACATATGCAGTTCTCCGTGACTCTGGAACGTGCAGGATATCGTACTTCTTGTTTTTTCCTCTAGCTTCGAGCAAGAAGCTAATGGTTCCTGCTTCCTTTCTTCAGGCTTTACCGAATCACGTCACCCGAGGCAAGTGATCGACCTCACATAAGTCTTAATGCTCTCCTTACTGAACATTAACGGACTCGTTCAATCCGGCCACCTGACTGCTGGACCAGGCTGAAACAGGGTCGTCATCAATCAGGTATTCCCAAATTTTTGAGTTTCTAGAAGTCGATGATAGATTATGTTACTTTCGGCTTCCTGTTTTGCAGATTCAAATATGATCAAGTTCAGCTTGGTTATTCGATGACGTCCTGGTTTACTTGCTGAGTCGATCTTGGCTTCGGGTTTTGCATCACGCCATGGTAAACGCTCAACACACTGCCTGCATTTTGCTGCTATTGGCTCCTGTTATGCTCATTTCCGCGAATCTAGATCAATGTGAGACCCCGGCATCCGACACTGATGATACCCGACAGGTGCTTTCTTAGCTTCCAGAATTGTTGACATCTGTATAGTCAATTTTAATTTGGTTCCAAGGTGTTCCTAAAACTTTTGGACAGGAACCTGCTAGTTCGTTACACATTCTCCGCACGTCGGGGGAACACCACATTTCTGCAGCAGCTAACACTTGCTATTTTCTAATGCTTGTTTGTTTGTGTTTTGAGTTCCAGGATATATTTAAAAGCTGCTTGGAAGATCGTTACTGACCCCTGTCAGCTCGTTCACTCGATTCATGAACTTAAATGGCTCTCTTATTGCGGCTTTTGAAGCCGTTATTTCCAGTTGTCATCCAATGGCTACTACTCGCCCTCATATTTCACACAGACAACCTGTTACCATGGGATCGTATCATCAGCTATCTTTTGGACCTGCCTATCACCAGCGTCAGAGCAAGCAATGGTCATCTGGGAAACATGGCCGTTTCATTGGTCAGAGCCTGGCTGGAAGGGGACTGGAGAATGCTGACACCTCGCATGCTAGCGTGGACCCAGGCGATCAGCTGGTGGCTGGCCTTTTCAGTTGTCATGACAGGCACGCTAACTGGTGTCCGAGATTTAGTCTTATCTGCGTTTGCTGATTCACTTATCAGAGCAAGTGGAAGCCCGAAGCGTCAGACTCGCTGGAAGCTTAAGAAGAGAGGCGTGCTGGTTATAGCGAACCTCCAGCTCTCTCCATTGCTTCTTGATGACCTGGACCTCCCGGTATTAGCACATTCAGCAAAGGTGGAGACACTGGAACTCTCACTCCCCCTCCTAGCTTTTCTCCTCGCCAGAAACATCTCTCTGCAAATCAGGGGGTTCCATGTGGAGCTGACTTCTCGCAAGCTCCCCTCTGAGAGGGATTGCCGTGGGCTTGATGCTCAGGTGGAGGCAGAGAAGCGGGCCAGGCAGCGGCAGAGGCTGATAGACATCGACAGATTGCTCTGGGATGACAATTCTCCTCCTCCTTCTTTCATGCAGAAATTTCAAGACTTCCTCATTTTCACAGTTGCCTCCCGAGCAGCGCAGTGCGTGCAGGTCTCCATCTCCCAGGTGACCATCCGGTTCCGACCCAGCAGCCTGAGCTCTCTGCCTGAGCATCTCCACCGTACTCTCGCCCTCCGCCTCGACTCCCTCAGCCTCAGCAACGGCCATCCAGCCTCCTCTGACTTGCTGCTTCCCAGGGCAAAGGTGGTGGACGTGCGGGGCTGCAAGCTTGAGCTCGTGAACGAGTCGAGCAGGCCTTCCGCTCCATCGTCAGGGGTTCAAGCGGGGAATGACAGTGCTCCAACTGGCAAGACGGATTCGTCTAGCAGATTGCACAGGCAGGCTCCGCATAGGCCTGCTGTGACTGTGGTGAAGCGCTGGAGCTTCTCTGTGACTGTGGAGGCAGGATGGGGTTTATGGCACCAGGGAAGCAAGAACAGTGGAGTGGTGGTTTCTGCCTCGCTGGACATGGGCGCTCTCATCATGAGTGCGAATGAACTGGTGGTGCAGTATCTGTCTGGCTTGGCTGTGGACTTGGCTGAATTCACAGACTATGCCAAGTACAGGCAAACTCGCCCTCGTGCTTCAGTGCTTGAGGATCCCAGGGCATGGTGGCGGCATGCCATTGGAAGCGTGGCACGAGATCTCCGAGCAGCGGCAATGGACGTTGAGCTGACAGGGCTGTCGCAGTCCCTCCAAGCCACCCTGCGCCTGCAGTATGAGAAGCAGTACAGCGACTTCGTTGCAGGGCGCTGCTGGTCCGTGGCGTCTGCTCAGACGCGCCTGCAACAACTGGAGCAGCAGCTTGGCACTCTCAACTGCGCGTTTGTGCGGTTCAGGGTGGCGCTGGCGGCAGAATCTGAGGGGTTGACCCACAGTGAGCCTGCATGGGACCAGCACATGACCAACGTGAGAAACAAACTCCAGGATCTGAAGTACCTTCTTTCTGGTGGCTCCATCCCTGAGCCTCAGGCACATAAGCCGGTCATCGAGGTCAGCAGCAGGTTTACATGCCCCAAGCTGTGCGTCTTGTTGACGTCAGCGTCAGACCTAGATTGGGGTGCTGAGGTGTCGCTGCATGAGGTGGCGCTGAGGTTCACTGAAACGGGTTCTCTTCATGCTGAGGTGTCATGCAGAGAGCTTCTGGTACGAAACTTCTATGTCCCTGAGAGCGAATTAGTAGGGAACATCGTGCACTCTGTCAGCTTCTCCCAAACCTCCGCCTTTCCTTCCTCTTCAGCCTCCTCCCCTTCCATTGGTCCTCGTGCCTCGTCCCCATCACCTCCAGTGCCTGGCTCTAGTCAACCGTCCCCACTGCATCCTTCTCTAAGCGGTCCTGCTGTGCCTGCTGCAGCAGCTGGAGCTGCTGCATCGTGCTCCCTTTCCTCGGGCTCCACTCCCTTCTTGGCTGTCTGTTTTGTCCAAAGGTACGGCTCTCGGCCCCGTCCCTGCCAGCTGCCCACCTGCCTGGTCGGCAGGTGGCATCTCACCTGCCCCTCAGAACTCAAGAAGCCAAGTTCAGGCCGTTTTTTCCAGTTTCTTCGAGCAGTCCGGTCTGACAAGTACATCAAAGCATCGCAGCAGAGCCCGAAAGCCGCGTTGACACCAGGGGAGATGCAGCAGCAACAACATGTACGGGATCCAGTGGAAGGGGTGGAGCAGAGGAAGCAGCCAACACATCCAAGTACAGAGGGAAGCAGGGGAAGCAAAGGAGAGTATGGCGAGACAAAGTGGAATGGGGAGCGTGAGCTCGGCGTGTTAGAGCTTGGGTGGGGCGAGGACGAGTTGCAGCGGCTGCATACTCGAGTGGAGGCGCACATGTCTCCCCTTCGAGTCTTCCTCGACCGCCGATGGCTTTTCCAGCTCATGCAGCTTCTCTCCTCGTCTCCCTCGACGCAATCCCAGCCAACTGCAGCCAGCCAAGGCAGAGCACTTAGCCATTTAGCCTCACAGGCTGGGAAGGGTGTGAGTAGCCGTGCTCAGGCTGGAGCTGGTGGAGGGAAAGGACTGGGAGGAGAAGGTGCAAGGGAAAGAGGTGGGGAGATGGCAATGGGGGACGCAGCTGGTGGTTCAGGTGACAGTGAGTGGATGCCGGATATCACCAAGCAGCAGCACTACCTGTACCGGAGAAGGGGAGACTCTGGAAGCGTAGATTCCTGGAGCAACGGTGCTGCTACTAGTGCTGCAAAGAGGCCTCCAGGCACACCCGGTGGTGGCGCGGGACAGAACTGTGGTGGTTTCAGTGATGGTGGTGCTGCGTCGCTGAACCCGACTCTCTTCGCGGATCTGCAGGAATACGTGAGGGAGTTTGGGCAGCACGTGGCGAGGAAGCGAGTGCAGCATGTCAGGGAGAACCTGCCAGAGATCGCTGCCCGGGTTGGCAGCATACTCTTCATCATCCCATGCCGCGACATTGTGAGTGTGAAGTAGAAAAGAAAAAACACTTGTGATGTGCAAAGTGCTCATGCTGGTCTGTCACATCTTCATTCCACCAGCATGGTTTGATTCCTTTCTGATGCTGTATTACAATTCCAACCCATGGCACTGTCCATTGCCTTGCCTCCTCTGAATGACAGGCCGTCATGCCTCGTCCATCATCATCAGCATCAGCCGGCCCTCAGCGCTCATCGGTGCCTTCAGCAGGAGGTGACGGCGACTTTCAGGCATTCTTTGGCATGGGGATGGACCACCAAGCACCACCATCACAGCCGCAGCAGCATCAGCATCAGCATCACCGCCAACAGCAGCGGCCACAGACACAGCAGCAGAACAATGCTCAAGCGTGGCAGAACCAGGGAACAGGAGCACAGAGAGCGAGACCTGCACCACTGACCCCTCCCCTGCTGGTCATATCCCTGTCAGAGATCGTTCTGGACACAAGGCCGACTGAAAGGTGATAATCGTGCAAACTATTTATGGTCCTCCTTGTTGCGTGGTTCATGATCCTTCCCCTTCAGCCTTCCCTGTCCCTCTGTGGAGAAGCAGCCACCCGATTCAGGTCTGTCCCCTATTCCTGTCTCTCCTTCTGATGTCTTGATTCTCAGTTCCATTCTTCAGAAGCAGGATGTCACCTCAGAATCAGCAGCGTCATCCAGCGACCAATCCCCAGCTGCCAAGTGGCGCAAGGTGGTGGCGTCCATGGCATCGCACAGGGGATGGATGCAGCGGCAGCATGTGGGCCCACTGCCGCCCAACTCTCTGGAGCAGGTCCAGGTGGAACTCACACTTGAGGCTTACCTGACTCGTGCTTCTCTCTCCAATGTTGCCGATTTGCGGGAAAGGTAATTATTGCCTGTAGCTAATCCTTCTTTTTTTTGGTTCACATGATTACATGGGCTACCTTCATTACATCCATCCATACGATACGATACGATACGATACGATACGATACGTGCCCTCCTTTTTCATTGCAGGGTGGACTTCTTAAAGTCAGTGTCAGTCAGCGCATCCGTCTGTCGCTGCACTGAACCTATTCGAGAAACCGCAACCACTGTAAGGCCCCTCCTACAGATCATACTTTTCCCACTCACTCCTGGTGTTACTTCAAGAGCCCCTCTCACTAGTCTCTTTCTTTCGCTCGTCCATCCTTCCTTCCTCTCTCCTTTTCTCACATGTGCTTGCAAGTTGGCACTTATCTGCCTTTAACTGTGCAGCTGCTGAGTGTGGAGCTGGTCACGTCAGTCTTCATCGTTCAGCTCTCGCCGCTCATTGCCAAGGAGGTGTCCCGCCTTGTGCACACGTAAGCAACCGACTTTGGCACTTGCATTGCATGATCCAGTAGCCAGTAATGCAAGACACACATGTTTCAGGCGCATCAGCCCGCTTTCAGCACACTCCCGCACACCTGGGAAGCCCACCATAACACACTTTCCATCACGCCTATCCTGTTTTTGGCACCCCTCTGCACCTTCCCACTCTCCTCTTGCAGTTTAAACGAGACCTTTGCAAGCACCGGAGACCTCTCCTCAACCAGCAAGGAACCGCCACCACCCCCACCTGTTACACCTGGAGCACACCAGCTCGGGTGGAGGTTCTCCTTAAAGGTACACGCGTCTCTCGCATAATGCGACAAATGGACTCTCCTTTCCAATCTCAGCCGTAGCTTGTTTGGTTGCCAACTCTCGCTCCTCCCCGTTTCGCATCAGTTCTCCCCAACCCAAAGACCCCCTTCTTCTTACCCTTGCTCTCCCGCCTCCACCCCCCACCTCTCACTCACATCACATCCACCTGTCTGCAGGGAGGTGGTTTCCTGGTCGAGGCGTGTCAGGAGATGGTGCCGCACAGCAAGGCTGACTGCCCGTACGGCGTGTGCCGCTGCCGCCAGTGGGTGCCTTCGTCTGACACCGCTGTGGTACTCGTCTCCACCGCCGAGGACCTGCGCGGATGCCCCCCCAGCACTTCCAAATCAGTTCCTCCAACTGCTGCTGTTGCTGCTGCTGCTGCTGCTGCTGCTGCTTCTTCTTCTGCTGGAGGTTCTGCTTCAGCTGTGGAAGGCCAGCGCCATGAGCCGGTGGTGGTGGTGTTCCGAGTGAGGCTGGACAAGATTCGAGTGGAGGCAGAGCAGCACAATGATAAGGTAAGTAGTTGTCAGAGCACCACAGATGTACTCCGCCTGCCTTTTGGGCTTCATGTTTGGCCATATCCGTCATGTAAGCTCATGAATCTTGTCCTTCCAAATCTCACTTCCCATGTCCCTCTCCCTCCATAACCACTTTTGTCCTCCCAATCCAGTTATCTCTCCTATTGCTGCTCAGAGGACTCTCCAGTGGCCGTATCCTCCCTCCTGTAAGTTTTATCTCTCTCTCTCTCTCTCTCTCTGTCCCCCCTCCTCCCCCACCCACCCCTCCTAACCCCCCTCTTTACATATCACCTCTCTCTACCTCTCTGACGCTCCCTCTCCCCTTTCTCCTTCGTTTCAGCATCCTTCCCCTCATTTCCTCCTCTCCCCATCCGCTAACACCTCCCTCCCTTTTCTTTGCAGATCGCGATGGTGCGGGAACTGTTTCCACCTGGCAAGGCCATGATGGCACGGGTCAGTTCCAATTCTTCTGGACCCACCTCAGCTTGCCATATGATCAGGACATAGTTTTCTTCGTTTGATCCGACCTCACATGCATGTCAATTTGTAATTTTCCTTTCGCCATCCGGACCACCATTTCCGCATCCTACTGTTAACAACCCCTGCGCTGTTGCTAGTCTCTTAAACCTCACTGTTGACCCTTCCCCTCTGACGTCAAACCCAGGTGTTCTACCGATGGCGCCTTCAGACAGTGGTGGCGAGGGGTTGCAGCGATGAGGCCATATTTGCTGCCTACGAGTCGCTCCAGCGGGCCAAGGCTCAGGTGCAGTGCATCAGGCTTCATTGCCTGTAGGCTGCAGCTCAGTGCTGGGAATAAGGGAAATTTGTGTTAGTGCATGTTGGTTGTATTCGTTTTGCTTCTTGATAGACATGAGCAATGGCTCCATTGACATGGCACTCGCCCTCTGTGTGCACGGATGAATTGCCGTGCCATGGTTGGTGCTCTGCAGGTTGCTGTTCAGCTGCAGGAGGCAGGAACATTGCACCAGGTGGCTGTGAAAGTCGCCCTCCTCCCATTCTCCTGGTACGCCCCTTTTTTTCGCCCATTAAACAGCCAATCTTAACCCTTGAACCTCCTGCTGTAGACGATGCTGCTTCCTCCTTTCCACAGCCACTTCACCCATCCCCTACATCTCACTCGTGTTCAACCCATTTTTCTACCACACCACCACCCACCCATCCGTGTCCTGCTGCAGTGACACCAATAACCTATCCGCGGTGCTCACCTTCCTCACTCACCTTCAAGCCGCTATCTCTCGGACCACCTCTGCTCCACGGGGTCCCTCAAATTCCCGAGCTCGCCAGATGCTGACTTTTGGAAGCAGCGAAGTGGAGAGGGACTCGTGGGGCGAGCCCACACCCACTGCTTTACCCTCCAGCCGCCCGACTTCTTCGTCTGGCCGGTCGCGTGTGTCTTTTAGAGATGCAGCAGAGGACAGCGTGGAAAGCGAAGATGAGACGGAGGAGGCACAAGGCGGGGAGAGGTGGTCTGGGAAGCAGGTGGGGGATGGAATGGCAGATGGTTCCGAGTTCGGGCCTCGCGTGCGGAGGACTGGGGGTGGGAAGCGGTTGAGCATTGGAGAGCTGCCCGTTGACGGAAGCGAGGCAGGCACGGATGTTGACGAGGATAATGAGAGGCAAGGAAATAGAGTGTCTCTGGATGATAGCCCCCTCGATATCCTGGGTCCGTGTTCTGAATGGCACCCTAATGGAGCGCCCTGGGAGGGCATGAGTGAGAGGAGAACACGAGGAAGGAGCAGGGATGGTGGAGAGAAGGACGGGAGAGGTGAAGGGTGCCGTGTGTATTCAACGAGCGGTTGGAGGGAGAGGAGGAGGGGTTGGCAGGGAAGCAGTGGGGAGGGAGAGGCAGCGGGTAGCGATGCAACGAGTGAAGTGTGGAAGCTGCAGGCGGAGCTGGGATGTGGAATGGTGATCATGTCCATTGGGGGAGTTTCTTTTGGCAGCGTCATCATGCAGAGGGTGAAGGTGGATTTGACCTCGCAGCCAGATGCCGTGGATGTGGACCTGACAGTGGGCGATCTGGATGTGGTTGACATGCTCGCCAACTCCAAGTGAGTCCACCCAGCACACTGCCCCAGTACCCCGATGTTCGATGTATTCGGTCCGACACCGCATTCTCTGTATCTCGGGGCGATCCAAGGTGTAGGCTTCACCACTGCTTCACTGATTCTTTGTCTGTAACCATCCCTCCTTCGGTGCAAGCCCATCCTTGGGATTTTTTTTCCAACTCTAGATTTGATCCACCTCACCTTTGTCGCCAGGCACTACGCTCACATTTTTGAGCCCAACGGAGACCTTCCAAGCCTGAACCTCGTTGTTCGGCAGAACATGGTGCAGCGAGGGCCGAACCTACCTGCCAAACCTCAGGTATGGCAAGTGGGTGTGGCATGGTACAATACTGTAGGTCTGACCTCAGGCACTAAACAATCACATCAATGTTCAAGGGTAATCCACCACAATTCCAGGTACCCAATCGACTGTATCCGTTCTCAAATTATGTACTCACACTCGCTGTCATTTGCTCTCAAACATGCGCACCCTCTGCTGTGAAGCCCCAGCATTTTTTCCCTCCCTCCACCACTAACTCTGCCCACCCAATGGCCCTCCTGTGTGAGCCGACAGGTGTGTGTGTTTGTGGAGAGCCAGCAGACGAGGATGACGGCCATCTTCCGCTTCTTCAACGACTTTGCTCTCTTCGTGGAGCGCATGGCCCCCATATTCTCAACCCCCCAGGTACGCACGCAGCCCACAATATAACTTCTCCTTTCCCGCACCATGAACCCTGAACCAGGTTACTTGTTCTCATCTCCTCACCCCAAATGTGTGCTGTACGCATTCCTAGTTCAAGGTTATTGCATCTGCTGGACACCAGCTGCCACCTCACTGGCAATTGTGCTAACACAGATATGTCATAGCTGACACCCTTCTTGCTTGCGCTGATCTTCTGACAGGCATCCGGTCCATCCAAAAAAGACGGCGTCTCAGCCAAGGGCCAGGATGGCAAGAGGGAGGGGTTTAAGCAGGGTAAAGGGGAGGGCAAAACAGCTGGGGATTCAGAGGGAGGTGATGCGCCTCCACTGGTGTTTCTGCACATCTCTGACCTGTCTCTCTGCCTTCCAGTGTAAGGGTGCTTTGCCTGCTTCGTTCTAGTGTGGTGCTCTAGTGTGGTGCTCTGTTTGCTTTGTCTCAACCAGATGGTGCTGCACAGCTCACGTGGCACATCTGTCTCCTCTCCTGTCCACCCACCCATCCCATCTCCCCCATGTCAGGTCGTCATGGAGCGAGGAGTCTCTGGATGTGCGAGTCGAGACCATCAACCTCATCGTTCCCACTCCGGCTTCTCAGCGCCTGTCCCAGCACACACTGCTCAGGTGCATGCTTGGTTTGAACTTTGACTGCTGCAATCAGGTAGAGTCATTTGTTTTCCCTTCTGTGTCTCTGGCCCAACACCCACCACGCGAATACGGCGTACGTCCATGCAATGCACTACACCAATCCATGCACTCATCATACACGCATTATTTTCAACTCTTTCTTTCTTTCCCATCAACCCGCCTTGTTACCTCACTGCAGACTCGCAACAGGCATCCGCCCGCGGGACCCCTCCTTCTGGAAGCCGCTGGTGGATGCTCTGGACCGCTCCCCCCCCGCTTCCCCCGACTCCATTGGCATTCAGCTCTCCCGCTTTGGGGCCTACTGGTCTCCTTCTAAGGTCAGATAATGTGATGGCCACTCCATTGTTATCTCTTCAAGGCAACCGCGTACTGCTCATGTGTGGTTGCTGCTCATCCAGGTTATAGGTGCATGGCGTTGAGACACACAACCTACACATGCCAGGCTTGCATTGATGCCCCTCTGCATCAATGCCCAGCTGCGTTGATGTGAACTTCTCTCTTGGCAGGGCAGAGGCCCTGTGTATGCATCTGTTCTTCTTACCATCTGTGCCTCCTCCCCCACCTTCTGATCCTTGCCTTCTCATCCCTGTGCCCTCACTCGCCGCATTCTCTGGCATGCCTGCTTGTCCCTGCTCTCAACAGACCATCACCCCCAAGGTGGAGCGAAACATCGTCTCTGAGGGTGGTGTCTTCATCTCCGTGCAGGTGCGGCTCGAGTGGTCTGGGATTGGGATGTGCTTCACTTCACTGATACTACCACGACATATCGTTATGCTTATACAATTCGACTAATTTGATTGGAGCACATTTTCTTCCTCTTCTCACCCCAAGTCCTTCAAATCAATACTCCACCTTCAGCCAACCACTAAGCACTCACCATTCGATCCTGTCTTCTCTATTCTCTCCACACTTCACCCTCCTACCCTCTGTCTGTCCCCTCTCCCCACCAGTCGAACCCATCACGTGTGCACGTGCACTGGCCTCAGGTGGAGATCCGTCTGGGCCCCACTCAGTACAACGCCATCATGACCCTCATCTTCCAGAACCTCGCAGAGGGCTGCTCCTTCACAGGTGGGCTTTGCCACAGTGCTGCAGGCAGGAACATAGGCAATACCATAGTTGCGTATGCACAGTACAAGCCATAACCCCCAACCATATGTGGACATGTTTCCGACTTGAAGCAGCGACTTGTCCAAACTCTCAACTATCTCATTGCCATCGAAGTTCTCCGCGCAGCAATTTACCCAAGCGATGTAATGTTCCATGGTCCACGTTACACCCCATGCCATGCCATGCCAACCAAACCCAGGCCAGACAACGAGGACAACTTGCTGACTTATGAGTCAATTCACCATCCACCCTGCCCCGTGTTACTTTCCAGTGAAATGCATGCCCACTCCACCTCCCTCCGCTCCTTCCTCCCCCCCACACCCCGCCGCACTCCTTTCCCCTTTCCCCCTTTTCCCACCCCCTCATCCCTCCCTCCTCTCCCCCCAACCCACCAGACGACCAGGTGTACAACCCGCAGGTGGGTCGCCCCATGGGCGGCGAGGCTGCTCCTCCGGACCCCTGCATCAGCCTGGCAGGGCTCACCCCCGACTTGGAGATTCAGCTCGACTTCGGCCGCGCTGTCATCCACGCCGACATGGAGCATCCAGCCACTCTGGTTGAGAATGGGTGCGTGTGCGGGAAGGGAAGCTTTCTTCATGGTGTCCCTGTTTTTACATCTATGGATGGGCTCTCGCATCGCATCCTTTCTGGTTTCTTCATATTAAACAGTCCAGCTTCTTTCTTTTCTCTTTGCCAACCATCCAACCAACTACCCCTGTGTACCTCCAACCGACCAGCTTTGGCGACCCCCTTTTGTCCTTGAGGGCGCATCGCCTCACCATTGTCTACTCGAACTACACTGATGTGAGCCTGCCTCCTTTCCCTTCCATATTCCAGTTTCACCAAGACTCTTTTGCGATGCTTTCTCTCATCCCTTGCACCTTAGGACCATGCGCACCTGCCCCTGCATTTATTTGGCAAGCTTTGGCGCCTCTTGCAAGTCACTCGGAGTAAATGTCACCTTTCTTATCCTTCTGCACACAGTTTTTTTCTTCCTCTCCAACTTATCCCGCTCTTTTGGCCCCACTCCACTCCCCCTCTACCCCCTGCCTACCTCCTCCGCGGCTGGCTGGCTCTCCAGTTCTCGCAAGTGACAGTGAAGGCATTTCGCCTGCTCTTGGTGGATGACCGCTTCCTCAAATTCTCCCAGTCGGAGGTTCGCACACTTCCCTCTATCTGTTCAGTTCAAGCCGTTGCACTTCTCTTCATCCTACCAGTCACAGTGACACCATGTCATCCACTCCACCTACATCCACTCTCAGACAACCAGTTTTTCACTTGTTCTCCTTCTTACGTTCCTTTAATGGCTGGCTCTCCCCACCCCCCTCTTCACCATCTTCCCACTCACTTTTCCTGATGCCTTCTTTTTTAAATCTCCAGCTGGCCCTCGTCGAGACCAACAGCTCGCGGGCCAAGCCATCCCCCACCGCACCTTCCGCATCCACCCGCCTCTCCACACCCCCCAACCACCCCCGCCCCTACACCACCTCCCTGGGGGGCGAGTCCGGACAAGGCCTTGGGTGCGACCTGGACAGGTCGTTTCTGGTGAACGTGGTGATGAAGCAGGAGGGCACAACGGGCGTGCAGGTGGTGTTTGAGCGCACCAGCATCGTCTGGCCGTTCTACACGGACCTGTCTCTCGTGTGGGAGTTTCTGGAGGTCGTGGCCGGGTACTTTCAGAAGCCGGGGTGTGCGCTCGGGCCTGCCAGCCTGCAGCCAGATTCGTGGCTCATGGTCAACATCCTGCTGCACGTGAGTAGCAGGACCGATTCTTGCTCCTGCAACACTGTTTTCGAGCAATGGTTTTGAACCCGAATTTGTCAGCTTGGATTCAAGTCTCACCAGGCGCGAGGTAGAGTCCTACGAGAGCCTGAGTATGTGTCTGCATTCCAGCAATCGCATTCCCAACTTTCTTTTGTGTCTGCTTGCGGTCTGTTTCACAAATGCTCGACTCACCTTTTTCCTTTCTTTTCCTACACGCTCCCACCACCTCTCATCAGGACTTTGACCTGTTGCTGCCAGTGCCAGAGGAGAGCCTCATCAACGTCTGCCCGCCTCCCTCCAGCTCCCATCCCTCCAGCCCTCCTGCCAACCCTCTTCTTGCGACCCCATCACCAATCACTGCTGACCCTCCAGCCTTCCACTCGGCCCCCTCGCGTATGCCTCCTCCCTCCTCTCCGTCTGACCGCTTCTACGATGCTTCGGAGGCTCTCCCTGCCAACCGACGCAGCGGCAGTGTAGTTGCAGGTGCTGGTGGTGGTGCTGCTAGCAGTGGCTTTGGCCGCAGTGGCAGTAGTGACAGCGGGAAGTTTGAAAGTGCAAGGAACACGTTTGAGGAGCCAGTGTGGGTGCCAGAGCTGCAAGTGTGGAGCGACGATGTGGATCTCTTCCTCTCAGAGCTCAAAGCCCACGGGCTCAAGATCAGGGGACAGACTTTGCGAGTGGGGCATTTTGCAGGAGGGGACAGGGAGAGCAAGCTCCTGGTAGACTTTATCCGCGTCAGCAGCGTGTTCGTACACCAGTCTCAGTACTTTGCCCCTCACGATGTTCTCGGGGAGTTCACTGCTCAGCTGCTGTTCAGCCAGCATTCGCCCAAGTGCGTCAGTCGGCAGGCCAGCCTGCTGTCGCTGCACATCACACCTGATCTCCATCCATCGCTCTCCTCAACTGCACCTTCTCCGTCTGCTGCTTCTGCTGCTTTCCCTGCCTCCGTCACGGGAGGGCAGTCCAGCAGCAGCGCCTTCAAGTCTGGCCGTCTGCCAGTTTTCTTTGTTTTCTCTGTGAGTCCATTTTTCTTCTCCACAGCGCCTCTTTCGTTTCCTTCTTTACCAGAGCATACATTTCACGTTGCCTATGCATTCTGTTCTTCACCCAGCCAACTCTCTGCACCGTTTTCACTTTTCAACCCTCTCACCTATTTGACTCGCTGGTTCTCACCCCGAGCAGCATCTCGTGGTCCTTAGCTCGTTCCTTCGAACGCTCAGCATCCGCCTGAAGCGGAGCGAGGGCAACCTGCTGCATCAGAACCTCGACCTGTATGGGGACCCTCTGCCACCCGCCTTTGTGCCGTCCAAGCTGGCCGTCAACCTCCAGATTCACGAGCTCTTTGTCGCTCTCATCGACGACAGGTGAGGAGGAGGAGCTTGGCCATGGCTAGTCGTTCATTTGTTGGTGCACGCCTCTCACACACACATGCACTGGCACTCAACCGAGTCCCATGCGCCTTGTTCATTTTCTACCCCCCCCACCCTCCCCTTGCGCCCCGCAAATCTCCCCCCTCAACCCCCCCCACCACCCCCCCCCCCCCCCCCCTCCCCGTGCTCCCCCCCCCCCCCCCCCCGTGCTCCCCCTCACTCCCCTCCTGCCATGCAGGATGGGCAATCCCACGTCGGTGCTGGAGCTGGTGGCGAAGGGCATCATCTTCAGCGCCACCAGCCAGATTCTCACCGATGGAGGACCCGAGCTGCTCTCCTGCCGCCTCTCCCTCACTCTCCTCTCCAACTTCCTCAACTCCGGCTTCGAGGTCCTTCCTTTCCAACTGCCTCTTTTGTTTTGTTCTCTTGTATTCTTCGCTCTATCTGTTCTTCTTCTGCCATTCTCTGCTGCTCATGCCCCTGCACATTCGCCTTTTGTCCCCCTCCCACCGCCACAGATCATGGAGCCAATGACGGAGTCCTGGAAGTTGGGGGCGGATGTGAAGTCCACAGGCAACCACGTGACAATAGCCGTGCAGTCACACCAGCTGCTGAACGTCATGTTCACGCCCATGCAGCTGCGCTCGCTGGGCGACGCCCTCAACTTCTACTCGCTGCTCTCCAACTCGCTGTCCGTGCTGCCGGGGGGCAGCCTGCACGGTGGAAGCGACCGTGACGAGGTAGGTTGGTTGGTTCGGTACAGAAGGTGCTATGCATGCGTGGTGTGTGTGCGTTTGGCTGGCCATCTGTATGTGTATGTGTGCTGTGCTCTATGTATGGTGCGGCGCTGCCTTTCAGTCATCAGGTATCATGGGTGGGTCTGCCCCTCGAATCAGCCCTTGGCATGCTTTCTTCTTGTCTTCATTCTCTTCCTTCCTCTCGCCGTCTATCTTCCCCTGTCCGTCACTGTCTGGTTCCTTCCTCTCCACTCTGCAGGTTGGTTCTTTAGCGTCCTCAACAGTTCATGGCGGATCTGTTCCACGTGCCACCTCCGCCCGGATGACAAGAGTGAGACATAATACCAGGCTGGCTGGGGGGAAACAGGGCGGGGGAGGTTCATGGAAGTTAGGGAAGGTACCTATGCTTATTTTGCCTGCCTTGTCGTGATCACTCCCCCCCTTCCCCTTCCTCTGAACATGGGACCTGAACCAGATTTTGGAGGAATCTCATAGCTTAGGAAGTGCTTGATTTGCTTGTTGCATTGTTTTCTATAACACCAGCGTCTGTCCTCCTCTCCATGTGACTCCCTTCAGGCAATGAGCATGCTGAGGGCACGCGAGTATTTCCCCAAGTCCGGAACCCTTGCAGAGGTACACTCCCTTCATCTGACCCTTGTACATTAGATGTTTCTGCTGTCGCGTTTGCGCTGCTGTATCTCTCCACCCCTCATCCCGTCATCCCATCATCCCCGCATCCTCTCATACCTTCTTCGCCTCAACCCTGAATCCGCCACCACCCCTCTCATCCATCCACGAGCAGACGTTGGAGGCGTCACTGCAGGAGGTGGCGGTGGGAATGGTGAGCTACAGAATCGTCAACCTCTCGGGCCACACTCTCTACTACTGGACTGGTGCGTGCTGCGTGAGCTTTGAACCCTGCCTGGGTGGCTGTGTCTTAGTCTTATAGGCACTATAATTCGGACCAGAAAGGCTCTGACTCACAGTTGGCACGTGACCGTTCATGATTGCGTTTGTTCCGGATGTGCAGAGAAGGATGAGGAGAAGTCCAAGACGTACTCAGTTGAGGAGGGCGAGGAGCAGGTGCTGGAGGTGCAGCCGGTGCAGAAGGTGGTCACTCTCAGAGACACGCGCAAGATCCTTGCGCGCACCATTTGTGTCAAGCTCAAAGGGGACTGGCTGCCAATGAACGACATAGTCATGGACAAGGTAAGCTTCTGTCATCTGATTCTCAGCCTAAAGTTTGCACCCCAAAAAGCAAAAGACTGGGGTACGTGTGAGCTCTTAAACTGGCCTCAAGGGGGACTGGTCACTGGCTTGTGACATGAACGACATTGTCATGGACAAGATGAGCTGTTTTTTTTATGCACCATCACTGGTTTGACTAAATGCTTTCTCAACCGACATACTAACACAGAACCCACCTCCGCGCGCTCCCCCCTGCACCCAGGTGGGAAAGTACGTGATGGACCTGCGGCTGCCGGGGAGCACAGTGGTGCTGCCGGTGGTGTTTGACGTGACGCTCAAGTCGCGCACCAAGATCATCACCGTGCACTCCACCATGCACCTCCGCAACAACATCGACGTCCCCCTCGTCTTCTTCGCCCTCCTGCCCAGCCCCAAAGAGACCGGAGTCGAGACTGCCAAGTCCTCCTCGCAAGTCAAGAAGTTCTCGCTTGGTGGGTCGCTGTGTGCTGTTGCAGTGCTGCTTTTGCGACGCCGTTTCTGACACAGTATTCTGCAGCTGTTGTATGCCAATAAGCTTTGTTGTTCTTCCTTGCTTTTCTCTTCGCATTGATCAAGTCGTGGCCTTAAACAATGTGCTCCCCTCTTTAGCTGTCTGGCTGTCTGTTATCCTTCTTGAGTAAATTACTGGTTCGTGCATATGTGTGGTGCGGATACGCCTCCATGCCGGCGTGCCTTCCCTGTGCAGGCCCCATACATCCTGAGCATGACATCTTCATGCCCATCTTTGCAGCTTTGGGAGGCCAACTCATGGCTCAGGCACAGGTGTGTGATGGCATGGGTGCGTGATGGCATGGGTGCGTGATCGCATGGGTGCATGATGGCATCTCATGCACAAGTCCATGATGGCATGGCTCCATCACCCTTGGATGAACCTGACATGCAAAACTTCTTCACTTTCGCTTTGTCATTTATCCACCTCTCCGTGGCCCTCCATCTCTCCCCTTCTTTCCCCACTCGCCCCACTGCCCCCAAAACACCGCAGGGCTTTGCGCGGGCAGAGAAGGACGTGGTGGCGCTGGATCCAGAGCACCTGCTGGAGCAGCAGGGCCTGCTCGAGTTCCCCATCCTCAACCAGGGCACGCGTTCCCCGCTCGTGGGCAGAGGCAGCAGCGGCGGCGGCAGCAGCAGCAACAGGCTGCTCAGCCGCTTTGGGAGCATGACACGGAGGCATAGTGACGGCGGGGGGAGCCTGAGACTGAGTGAACTTGGGAGTGTGAGGAGGGGGAGCATGGCGAATGGAGGAGAGGATGAGTTTGATAGGGGCAGTGATGTGGGTACATCGGAAGAGGATTTTGACAGTGCGAGTGATGTGAGGAGGCCGTTCTACTGCTGTCTGCAGGTCATCTCAGATCCTCTGGCACACAGTGCGAGCAACGGGCTGTATGAGGAGTTCACGCTGTCCTTTGTGCCCCCTGTGGCCATTCAAAACGGGCTGCCATACGACTTGGAGGCGTTTGTGTGGGACGTGGAGTGGGGCACACGACACATTGTCTACGTCCCTTCTGGTCAGTTCCCTCTCCTATTGCTACTGCCACTGCTGTTTCTGCTATACTGCAACACATGTACCCTGTGGCTGCTAGTGCTGCTACTACTGCTTTCTGTTGCTGCTCTGTTTTCTTCTGCTGTCAGCCTCCACACATTCGCCTGGCTTATTTCTCACCGCTTGTGTCGGCCCCTCTCCTATCAGGCGAGTCCCGAGACCTCTATCACGTCAGCCTGGACCACACGTTGCAGATGCACATCGCGGTGAGCCTCTTCACCCCCTGAGAGCCCTGCTGAATCTGTGCCGAGCAGATCGTCTTAGATTAGTGGTGTGGTGTATGTATTGTCTTGTTGAGCCTGTGATTGATTGCGAAGAGTGCAAGTGGTGGTCCTCCTGATGCCGTATGGACCCCTCTTGGGTCACCTCGTGTTGCCTTTTCATGTTTCCGTTCTCCCCCATGTCCGGTTATCTCTCTTCTGCAGCTCTTTGTGCCAGGGGGGGAGTACAGGACGCGTCGCCGATACCCCATCCACTTCCCTCCCAAGTAAGATCTCCTCTCAGCCGTTGAGTCCCATCCACTCCTCTCTCTTCATCAAGCGGTCATCTCATCCTGCTCGCTCCTCATGACTTCACCACGCCACGTGTATGCATCCCGTACTCATGCCCGCACCTCACTCCCTCACCCATTTCATTCCCCAAACCCCCTCCTCTCTCCCGCCCACCCCCCCACCCCCCCTCGCCAGCCCGTTGCTCCAGAAGCAGTTTGGCAGCCGAGCTTTCGCCTACGACGTCCGCACTCTAAGCCTGGCCGTCAAGTGCCGCCTCTTCCCGCAGCACTCCCCTGCAGCCTCGCCCATCACACTCTCCATCGACAACCGCCACAACTGGCAGTCACGCAACCGCAGCATCGCACTGCTTGCTCACTACTGGGTCATCAACCTCACCAAGTTCCGCCTGAAGCTCTCCACTGGCTCCTCAAAGAATCCCCTCGACTGCCCGCGGTATCAAGAGGGCCAGCCCGCCTTGCTGAACGTGCGCCGGGGGGCTATCACGGCGATCAGCCTCGATGGCTATCATTGGTCGAAGTCGATTTCGATAGATTCTGTTGGGATCAAGGGGTCGGTTGCGGTTGCTGGGCCTGCGTCCACCATGCTCCCACAGAACCACCAGCATCACTCGCAATGGCATCACGAGGACTCTTCACCGCATGCTGAGTTGCTGCGGCAGCAGACGGCGGAGGAATGGGAGAACGTGGTGCAGCTGGATGCTCCTGCTGGCGCTCCCTCTCGCCACACCACCTCGTCCATGTCACCCTTCCCAGTATGTGTCCCTGCCAGGCAGTTTGAGTACGAAGACAGATGCACAAACACTCCATGCCTCCTCTGTGTCCCCTTCTCCCCTTCGCCTGTCTCCCTTCCTCTTCAACCCTCCACGTACACGCTGCTTCAGTTGCTCCCCCATTTCCTTCTTCAGCTTCTCTCCGCTCTTTTCGCCACACTTGCGCCAAATCTGGCTAGCATTCATTCCGAACGAGCTCTTACCCCAGATGCACATCCTTCCCTCCACGCCCACCCTCCGCAGGCCCTGCGGCGATTCGAGTTCGGGGTGGAGGTGCGGCTGGCGCCGTCGCTGTGCGAGGGCACGAAGCTCGTCATCATCTCGCCGCGCTTCATGGTGTCCAACCAGACCGGGCAGCCCATGCAGATCGCTCAGATCGGCACCACCACTGCGCGGGTACGTACATAAATTCGTGACTTTTGAGTCGACTCAAAAGTTGACTGGGCAGCCCATGCAGATCGCCCAGATCGGCACCTCCTGCCCGGGTGCTTGCCTTCTTCTTTCTCCTTGGCTGATAGACCCTCTGCTGTATGCACCAGCGTCAGCATGGCACTTTGCTTTTCTCCCCGTCTGGGTTCAGAACCCCCACTCACTACACTGCGCTCCCCTGCTACATTTGCCGAATCTCAATGTTTGTGTCTGTGGCTTGTTCTGCTCTGGCAGGTTCTGGCGGACAAGATGCGACAGCCGTTCCACTGGGATGACGAGAAGCTCGGGACGTACCTGGTGGCTCGGTTGCTGAGCAGCGATGATGAGGAGGAGGATGACTTGGCTGATGGTGATGAGGAGGAGGAGGAGGGGGAGGAGGGGAAGGAAGGGGAGGAAGGGGAGAAAGGGGAGGAGGAGGATGAGCACAGCTCGAGTTCTGATGAAGAGCATAGTGAGGGGGAGGAGGAGGACGGGATTGGAGAGGGAGCGAGAGAGAGTCACGTAGCAGGTGAGGTAAGTGGGATGCAGCGACTGAGGAGGGACTCAGAGGATTCCCACGTGTCGTGCGAGTCGACGAAGGGCAGAGAGCAGGTGCAGGCAGGGGTGGGCAGCATTGGTTCTGGAGGAGATGCTGATGGGGTGGAAAGCAGCTGTGATAAGGTGATGGGGTTGCCAAAGGGAAAGGAGAACGCAGCAAGTGGCAGGTTGCAGGGTAGTGGTAGCGACAGGCAGCAGCAGCAGGCCCACAGTGGTGCCATTGGCAGCAGCCGTCAGCAGGTGGAGAGCAGTAGCAGTCAAAAGGGGGATGGAAGCCACGAGAAAAGGGAGGATGGAAGCAAGGGCGGCAGCAAAGGCGGGACTGGATCTCGAAAGAAGAGTGCAGGAAAGGGACGGGGGAGCAAAGGAAGGGAGATGGAGGTGGATTGGGAGTGGTCTGGTGCGTTTGATATCGACAAGCCGGGTGAATCTGCAGTGCGTATCAGGCACAGACGCAAGAAGGGCAAGTACGCCATCCTCTCGATTGACGTCTCACTGAACGGCGCCTCTGCTCTCGTCACGTTTGACGTGTGCAGCTCCAAGCACAAGCCTCCGCCCTATCGGTACGTGCAAACCTTGCTAGAAATTTTGCAATTGTTTTTTAGAGGATCCAAAAGTATGTCCGCCCTATCAGTGCGTGCTGCCCTTGTTTCCCACACATGCTGCCTGTAGCATGGTGCGTCCTTGTGTCAACGCTCCAGCAGAACAGCTCCTGCCTGATCGTGTCTTTATGCAACTCGTTCGCTGCGTGATCTGTCGTCTCTGCTCTGCTTATCCTCATCCCATGGCGTGGCAGCATTGAGAACCACTCAGCCTTCATGAGCATCAAGTACGGGCAGCTCACCACCCCCACGCGGCAAAGGCTGCCTCCCAACCGCTCCACCAACTACGCGTGGGACCAGGTGTGCGCTCCTCAAATTGCCTCCAATATCTCTCAAGTAGCTTAGGTGCTGTAAGGGGACGCAACAAGTAAGTCGATTTTCCCTCGTAAATATACTGCTGCGGTCATACTCCTGCTCTGCACTGCCCTCTCCCCCCTTTCCTCCTGCCAGCCGCGCATGGCCCAGCTGCTGCAGGTGGAGATCGAGGGGTTCGGTGTGACGAGAGAGTACGATCTGGACGGCATCCGCGAGCTGCCCACCATCATCCTCTCAGAAGACGACTTCACTGGCAATGCGTCGCTGAGAGACAGGTAAGTTTGTTGTTGAAGTGATATGCTTCTTCTAATGAGGAACAGCAATGAACTGGGGAGAGTACGACCTGGGCGGCATTCGCGAGCTGTCCACTATCATCTTCTCAGAAGACGACTTCACTGGCAACGCATCGCTGAGAGACAGGTAGGTGGGTCCGCTGGTGAAGTGACACCAACTGATGATGAGTAGGGAAAGTGAGGAATGGGGAGGAGGGTGTATGACCTGAACAGCATTTGAGAGCTGCCCCTTTTCAGTCACACGACTCCTTTCCTTTCCCCCTTCTCACCCCTCCCTATGCGCCCTTCCTTCTCCTCGCCACGCTCCTATTTCTTGCCCATCTCGCCCCACAGGATGTTTGTGATGGTGGGGACGCAGGCCCGAGCGGTGGCAGCACTGTACGTGAACGTGTATGCAGATGGGGCCACCAGAGTACTCTCCTTCTCCGATACCAAACACACCTCCAAGTGAGCACCTTCATTCTGTCAACTCCACATGACCGACTTCGATGTTGTCCTCTTTCCACTCATACCCTATAGGAAGCATGCTTTCTGTGTCTCTTTGAGATGTCTGTAAGCCCGTTAATGCGTATCTGCCTGCGCTGCCTGCAGCAGGGTATCAGACAAGGACGTGCTTCGATACCACACAGATTCATTTGTCGTTGTCTGTGAGCCCGCTCCTGATTTCAAAATAATCAGTCGCGTTCAAGCTTATTCATGTTCATCCACCTGTGCTGTGTGCAGGGTATCGGAGGAGGACGAGCGCACCACGCTGCAGGAGAAGCTGCAGGTGACGAGTGAGCGAATCGATTTCGCCCGCAAGGTGCTGCAGCGCACTCGTGCTCTTGCAGGAGACTCTCCTCTGGATGCTTCGGAGGCCAAGGTGAGCCGGTCTATGCGAAGGTTCGTAAGTAGGTTGACGTGATTGTGCCGTACGGAGCTGAGCCTTGTGTGCAGAAAATGGAAGCGAGGTATATCAAGAGTTTACGTGGTTGAAAACGAGGTTCAACCACGGTGTACAACCTGTCTGTTAACGTGGTTGGACCTTCCGATCAACACCCATGATCATAACCTGTGCTTGTCACCACCCATTTCCTGTGGTTGTCTGGTCATGGTGCAGCCATCGTACTTGGAGTCTCCTGAGTACAGTGCTGCCATGGCCAGCTTCACACCCAACCAGCACCGATCCACGCCCTCTGTGAGCAGCGCCTCGTCATCTGGTCGCAGCGTCATGCCACTCGGTCGCAGCAGTAGCGCCACTCCTGCCGCCGCATCCACAAGCACCAACCCTCCTCGCTCAATCGTAACTGCTGCTGGCGCTGGCAGTTCAAAGGAGCAGGTTTTCTCCAGTGCAGATTCAGAGGGCTCCTCCCCTCGCACTCCTCCAGAGACTCTCCGAGTGTTTACTGGCAGCAGTCATGATCCTTCTCATGCCAGTGAAGCCGTTGGTGATCCAGATCCAGTGACCACACCGTCCAGGAGCCCCCTCCAGAGAAGCTTTGCCCTTTCCTCCACTGCAGCAGCTGCTACTGCCAAAGAGGCCCGGGCTTCAGGCCTTGCTAACTGCAGAACTGTGAGTGACTCCTTTGATGCCTCTGTTGAGCACGTGAAGTCGCAGCCAGGCAAGGCAGGGCTCCGTAGGAGCAGGAGTCAAGAGGCAGCGGTGTTGCAAGTGACCAAGGCAGGGGCAGGAGGAAGTGCCAGCTCTGGGGCTGATTCAGGCGGGGCAGCAAAGCTGAAAGGGCAAGAGGCGCTTGACTACCTGTACCTCCCTGCAAGCGCGGCCGCAGTGCCTGATTATCCGATGAGACTGGTTGAGGCAACAGCATATGGCGTGCAGGCAGGAGCGCAGGTCGTGAAGGCAGGTATGGAGGTGGTGGAAGGGGTGGGGGAGGTGGCAGAGGAGAGGTTGAAAGGGAATGTAGGGCCACGCTTTGGAGCAGTCAAGTCATCAGCTACTGAGGTGTTGGTAGGGAAGATTGTGGGAGGGGCCAGGCATGTTGAGTTGGCAGCAGCAGAGGCGAAAGGGATGTTGAAATCAGCAGCAAAGGTGCTGTCAAAGGAGAAAACGGACGGGCCAGCAGCTGCAGAAGCAGAGGAAGGGGTGAGTCAGGGGGAGGTAGCTACAGAGGCAGATACACCAGAAGCAGCAGATGCAACAGTACGTTTAGACACTTCAACTGCAGCTGGAAAATCACAGGGTGCCCCAGCTTCAGCCGCTACGGTTGGAGGGCTAGATGAGTCTGACACCTGCGCATCTGCCACTGCTTCTCCTGGCTCATTTGCTACTGCTGCTCCTGGCGCATCTGTTGCTGCTGCACCTGGTGCATCTGCTGCTGCTGCCCCTGGCGCGTCTGCTGCTGCTTCCCCTGGCGCATCTGTTACTGCTGGCATTGTGTCAGGTGATGGTGATGCTCCGATTGGTGCTGGAGGGGGCCGGTGGCAGAGAGTTAAACAGCGACTGGCGTTCATGAGTCTGGGCAAGGGGAAGGAACAAGCACATCTGCCGGAGTCGAAACAAGATGAGAATGATGGTGAGGACATGAAGGGTGTGTATGGTGGGGGGGGAGAGGATAGGAGGCCAGAGAGGCTGGTTCAATGGGCCAGTGGGGAGGAGAATCACAAAGGACTTGAGACGGATGAGGTTACTGAGAAGGCAGGGAGCCTTTCACGTGTGAGGGAAGAATCAGAGGAGGAGATGAATGAGGGAGGGGATGAAGGAGTGGATCAGGGTAGCTGCAGTGATGCAGGCAGAGGACGGAGTGCAGTCATGGATGCTGACGTGACTGATAGTGATGCTGGGAGAGGCGGTGGTGATGAGGCAAGGAGAGCTGAGAAGGAGGAGAGTTTACGTATTGTATATGCTGGGGTCGAAGGACAGGCAAGTGGAGCGCAGAGGGAAGAGGGGCAGGGGGCAGACGCAGCAGAGGAACAGGGCCAAGGGGAGGAAGCCGGATGCAGGAGCGGAGAGACGGAGGGGGTTGGAGGAGGAGGAGGAGAAGGAGGAGGAGGAGGAAGAAGTGAGAGAGTGGAAGCGCCAGTGCCTGCATCTCTCCTTGGTTCCTCATTGGCTGCTGCTCGCTTTGTCCTGGGGCTGAAGAGAGGCAGGGCCAGGCGTACAGCTGGCGCCAGTGTTGGAGAGCGGCGTTCTGAAGTGACACGTGCTGATGTTGTTGCTGAGGCACAGTCCCATCCTGCTGCTGATTCTTTTTCCAGTTCTGCGGTTGCTGCTGCAGCAGCGACACCAAATTCTACCTCTGGTGCTGCGGCTGCTGCTGATAGTGCGGCTGCTGCAGGCGCTGCTTCTGCAGCTGTTGCAGAGACTGGCGATGCAGATGCCAGCTCATCTGGTTCTTGTGCTGCCATGGATTACGACGAAGGGCATGCACGGGATTGCACTGCTGGTGGTGCTGCGGACGATGCTGATCTCACTGACACTCATGTTGATGCCCATCCCAGTCAGCATCCGGAGACTAGCACTTATGGAGCAGCGAGTTCAGAAAATGTTCCTGCCTCAACCACTGCCGGGGCTAATTCTGCCTCTGGCGTCCCAGCCACAGCTGCTGCCACTGAGCCTGCTGCAGGTACTGACGCTGCTGCCACTGAGCCCATTGTAGCTACTGCTGGTGGATCTTCCACTGCTCCACCCACTGTAGCGACAGGTGCTGCTGCCATTGCAACCCCTGTGGCGACAGGTGCAGCTGCCTCTGCACCCGCTGTGGCGACAGGTGCAGCTGCCTCTGCACCCGCTGTGGCGACAGGTGCAGCTGCCTCTGCACCCGCTGTGGCGACAGGTGCAGCTGCCTCTGCACCCGCTGTAGAGACAGGTGCAGCTGCCTCTGCACCCGCTGTAGAGACGGGTGCTGCTGCCAGGGCGGCTCCTGGATCTACTGCTGGTGCTGCCACAGATAGCAGCAGATCGACAGGAAGCAGGCTCAAGTCCAGCAGCAGCTTCAAAGTGTCATTGAGAGCAGCCGCTGCACGGATCATAAAACCCGCTGCTCCTAAGCCCAACAGACCCAAATTCTCCGAGGTGGTTGCTGGTGCCGTGGCTGGTTCTGCTGCCATGGTCGTCGGTGCTCCTGTGCCCGAGACCTCAGATGCTCCTGTTCCTGTATCCACTGCTGCTCCTGGTGATCCCATGTTGATAGCAACAGTGGCAGCAACAAAGACCGAGCCAACTGTTCACCTGGATTCCCTCTCCTCCTTTCCACCCCTCAATCACAACCGTATCGAAGCCACTCGACCACCTGCTGCATCAATAGCAGACCCCAACACTCGTAGTGCTGCTGCTGCCTCCCTCTCACCCTCCAGCCGCAGCCTGGGCGAATCAAGCATTGGTGGCAAATCCAGCGATAAACTCTCTGCAAATATTGCCAGCGATGCTGTCAAAGTTTCCACTGTCGCTGCTGCTGCCGCCGCCGCTGCTGCTCCTGGTGATTCCGTGTTGCTAGAAACCGCGGTACCAAAATCAGAGCCAGCCATTCACCTGGATTCTCTCTCCTCATTTCCCCCCCTCAATCGCGATCGTGACCGAGCCACTCCCCTCAGCACGCCAACAGCAGACCCCAATGCTCGTAGTGCTGCTGCTGCTGCTGCTTCCCTCTCACCCTCCAGCCGCAGCCTTGGCGAATCAAGCAGTGGTGGCAAAAAACAACGATAGACTCTCCGCAAGTGTTGCCAAAGCTTCCACTGCTGCTGCTGCTGCTGCCGTCTCTGCTACTGCTGCTATTGCTGGCACTGCTGCTGGTACTGGCAAGGCGGCTGCTGCTGCTGCTGCTGCTACAAGTGCCTCTGTCGATGTGGCCACAACTGCAACTGGGGATGCAAATTTAATCATTTCTGTGTCTGCCCCTGCAAGTGCTCCTCTTGCTCCTGCTGCAGCCTCCGCTGGCTCTGGTACCGCAGACCACAGCAGTAGTGAGCTGCAGTTACCAGTGAGTGTCCCTCCTTCTGAGTCAGCAGAGTTGGAACACCACAGGTCGCGCTCAACTGAAGTTGCTCCAGCAGTGGCAGACCTAGCGACAGGAGAAGCAGCTGGCGAAGCAGCAGCATCTGAAACACCAGGCACCCCTGCTGTGCATATCGCTGACGATGACCCGCCTTCAAACAACTTCCAACCGTCTCCTGAACTCGGTGCAAGGCCTACCCGAGGCCGTGTGACCTGGAAAGGTGTTGTGGGCCAGGTTGGTGTTGGCGCCACTGCTGCCGTGGTCAACACAGGGAAGAGAGTGACAGGAGCGGCATCAGTTTTACACTCCGCTGCCGCTGCATTCCTAGACGGCACTTCAGAGAAAGTTCAGGAGAAGTTTCACGAGGCCCAGGAGGCCTTTGAGGAGGCAGAGGAAAGGGTGGAGGAGAGACTGGCTGATGAGGGGTTTAAAGCGCAAGTGGGGGCGATGAAGACAGTGCGCTCTATGGAGTCATTCTTTGGGAGACAGGCGGATAAGCTGATGGAGGCCACCCGCGTTCCTGACATGGTCAAGTCTGCAACAGCTGCAGAGCTCCGGGCACACTGGCCCCATGACAGCTTCAGGCTGCCATCGTCGAGAAGCGAGGGGGGAGAGATGGACAGGGAAGGGGAAGGGAATGAGTTGATGCCCGTGCCCACGTTTGAAGAGCTTCAGAGCATGGCGGGGGCGGGTAGCAGCTGCTGAGTTGGAGTTTATTGGGCGGAATAGGCAGACTGGATTGGTCAAAAGCGCGAGTGTTGCCGCAGGGCAGATGGCGGCAGTAGCAAGGCGAGGCCAGGATGTGGTTGTGAAGGCCGGGACAATGGTCAAGGGAGCAGTTGGGAGCGCCCTTGCTGCCGGGTCTGAGGTGGCTGTAGCAGAAGGTAAGGCCTTAAAGGCCGGGGCGGTTGTAGCGCTGAATGTTATGGGCGGGAGGCTGGGGGAGATCAAGGAGCATGCGGATCAGGAGTTGCAAGTGAGCCTGGCGGACTGGCGGAGACGAATGCAGGAGGCGGGGATAGGGGTGGAAGAGGAGGAAGACATCAGTGAGTTACGGCAGGAGCGGATCCATCTAGGCAACGAGGAGTACGACGCGGGGGCGATCGTGGGAGGCGACGTGACGATTCACGTGATTAAAGCCATGGATCTGGGGCTCCGGCCGGAGAAGACGCATCCGTACACGGTGGTGCAGGTGGAGGGGCGGCGGCTGCGGTCATCTGTGTGCAAGGGCACGGTGTGTCCGCAGTGGGACGAGCTGCTGGTGTTCAAGGGCGTGTCTACCACGTCCAGCATGGCTGTTTCCATCTTCAGCAGCGAAACCATCGGCTCACATAAGTTCCTCGGCCAGGTGAGCCGTGGAGCAGTTTGCCTTGCCTGCCCTTGCTTCTCTCAAACTAGCTGTACTTTTTTCCGCCAGCCGTTCTTGGTGTGTCCTGTATATTGATCAGGCTCTTTTTCTCCCACCCACTTCCTCCATATGCTACTCCCACCTTGCTGTCCCTCTGGCTTGCTGCCCCTCTGGCTTGCTGCCCTCCCCCAGGTGGTGCTGCCGCTGGTGGACGGCAGGGCGTTGAACCGTGAGCCCGGGTGGCACAAGCTGAGTCGGCGCACGGCGCACGAGACGGTGACAGGCAGGGTGTTCCTCTCCACGTCTTGGGACGCCACAGAGCTCGAGCTCATGGCGCTGCAGGTGGGTCAGTTGTGCGTGCATTGTTGCACGTGAGGTGCCTTGTGTTGTATGCATGTGTGGTGGCTTTCACGTGCACACGAGACGGTGATAGTCAGCCAGGGTGTTCTTGTTCACGTCTTGGGACGCAACAGAGCTCGAGCTCATGGCGCTGCAGGTGGGTGGGTCCTTTGCGCGTGCATGGCTGCTTGTGTAGATTATTGAGTTGACTAGAAAAAGGAGGCTGGGGTGGCACACCTCCCGAACTCACACCTTTGCCTGAACGCACTGGAGGGTGCTTCTTTCCATCATTCACTCCCTTCCTCTCCTTCTGCCCACTGCCTTTGCCTGTGCGCCCATTGCCTTATCCTCTGCAGCTGCGCGCCTAGGAAGCAGAGCTGGACGCGCTGGAAGAGCGACTGGCACAGGAGAGAGAGGCGAGGCCGTGATGGCAGCAAAGAGTCTCTCCAATTCTCCATAATCCATTCCCTGCTTCCCCTTCCGCCATCCTTTGCCTGTGCGCCCATTCGCCCCTGCAGCTGCGCGCCAAGGAAGCAGAGCTGGACGCACTGGAGGAGCGGCTGGCACAGGAGAGGGAGGCGCGGCCGCGCGAGGCCGTCATGGCAGCAGAGACCCTCGCCAACCCGCACCCGCTGCAGCCCCACATGCCCTCCTCGGGCCTGCGCACGCCCACGGGGGGCCCCATGCTGCGCCGCATGTTCACCCTGCGGGGCCCTGGGGTGATGGGTGCGGCTGCCTCTTCCGTGTCGCCTGCTGTGGTGCAGCAGCTTGCCGCCAAGGGGCAGCTCAAGGTGAGTGTTGGTGGGAGGGAGAGGGGGGCAGGCCCATGCTGCACCACATGTTCACACTGCAGGGCCATGCGCAGGGGATGGCTGGGGGCGTCTCTTCAGTGTCGCCTGCTGCAGTGCAGCAGCATGCCGCTAAGGGGCAGATTAAGGTGAGAGGTGGGGAAGAGAGGGTTGCGTAAGGATACGGGGTCTTCTGTGTGTAATTTCTTCTCGCATAGACACTACCTTCCCTTCCGGACCTGCCTCTCTAGCTTCTTTTCCTGCCGGGTCCTGGCAGAGCCAGCAGAGTGGCTGCACTGCTTGTATTTGGTTCCATACTTACTCTCACCACGTTACTCACCCTCTTTTCTCATCCGGCCATCTGCAGGTGAAGGTGGTGGAGACAAGACACCTGGCAGTGCCAGCAGAGTGGCTGCGCTCGGCGTGTTTGGATCTTCTCTTCCCTTGGTTTACTCACCTCTCTACTCACTCTCCGCTCACCCTGCTCCTCCGTCCTCCCATCTGCAGGTGAAGGTGGTGGAGGCGAGGCACCTGGCAGTGCCAGCGGAGTGGCTGCGCTCGGTGCACCGGATGCGCGCCTTTGCTGCGCTCTCCGTGGTGTCCCCCTCGGGCACGAGCACGCTGCCTGTCAAGACGCGGGTCATCAACGGCACCTTCTTCCCCAAGTGGAACGAAACGTTCTCCATCAACGATGTCGCTCTCACCTCCTCGCTGCGCGTGCAGGTATGGCTTGACTCAAGTGCTTCTCATTCAGGTGTAGGCTGGTTCAGGGGGGTACTGGTGCAGGTTTGACCTGGGTCAGGTGGTGCAGAGTAGTGCAAGCAGTCCACAGATCGGTTCAGCTGGGGCCGGACTCGTGTCACTGCTTGAACGCCTTGACATATTGATTGCAATCAGATGTTCGCTTGTTTCGCTAGCGAATTAAGTCTGCCTCATTTCTTCTCAAGTCTGTCCTTTCCGAAACCCCCCTTGGCTGTTCCTCCATGCCTTCACGGTTCCCTCACCTTCCCAATGCTCACCCCTCCTTTTGTACCATGGCCCCTGCTAATCACCCATTTTCGTCTCACCCGTCTGGTGGCCACGCCCCGCATCCCCTACAGGTGTTTGACAAGCCAAAGCTGGGTAGCCCGAACCTCCTGGGCGAAGCTACAGTGGACGTCACCACCTTCAAGGTGTGGCTAGACACAGACAGGATGCAGATGATGAGAGATTCGGATTCGAATCGATCACTGATTTGAAGGTCATACCAACCCAATCTGTGTATGAATTTGAAAGCCAAGCCAAAGCCACATGGCTGAGAGTCATAGCATGTTCTCCATGTCTCGCCCGTTGCTCGCATTTACGAGCAGCTTGTCTCGCCCCATGCTTTCGTCTGCTCTATTTCAATATACTCTTTGCTATTCTTTGCTTTGTCCCAGGACGGGCTACCACAGTACATGCTGCGGACTCTCAAGCGAAGTGCTGGAAAAGAAGGGGTGCGTATCTGCCTGTTCCTGCCTCCGTTTTCCTTTTTCCCCATTTTCCTTGTGAAGCCATTATTCCCTCCTGGCCTCCTCTTCACCTCCACCCACTATTTCCTCCTCTCTTCCCGTCCCTGGTCCTTGGCTGCTCGTACCATGTGCTTGCCATTTTGACGCATCCCCTCCCAACCTCCGCCTCACCTTCACCCACTATTTTCTCCTCTTCTCCCGTCCCTGGTCCTTGACTGTCCATACCCTGCACCTTGTGCCGACCTCCTGCCGCCCTTCCTTTCCTTCACCTGCAGGAGCAGGAGGCAGTGGGCGGCAGCATTCGTCTTCGAGTGCACTGGATGGTGGACCATGGGAAGAAGGCAGAGGAGAAGACGGGAGTCAATTTTATGGTAAGATGGAAACTTTTCACGCTCTATGTCGGTCTACTCGCTGTGTCCCTGTCCCCATTTCATCCCTCTTTCGGACACCACTTCTTTCATACCTTGCCTCTGTTCAAAGCCGTCTTCCTCCCCAATCTCTTCCTCACCAGCCTCTCCCCTGTTGGACCAGCAAAAGCTCCATCCATCCCTGCCCATTGCCCCACACTTCTTCACCTTCTTGCCTCGCTTCCCACCGCCCCTTCTGCCTGACTCCGTCCATAATATTCCTCGCCTTTTCCCGTCACCCCATTCCCCATCCCACCCCCTCTCTCCCCCCACACGTGCCAACTGCCCCCAGGTGAACCTGCACGGGATGACCGTGTCCGTGGTGGACCGCCTGCCGCGAGAGATCATGCTGGTGCTGCTGGAAGACATCTGCTGCTCCTGGGAGGAGTCGGTGAGCCGCATGCGGAATGGGGGAGTAGGGGGGAGTAATGGGAGAGGGAGAGAGTTGGCTAGACATGTGAGAGGTGGTTGGGTGGAGGGTGGGTACGTGAGAGAGATCATGCTCGTGGTGCTGGAAGACATTTGCTGTTCCTGGGAGAAGTCAGTGAGCCGCACAGGCACAGGGGGAAAGCGGAGGGTAGAGAGGGGGAAACAGGAGGGGCTGGCTTAGGCATGTGAGAGGTGGCGAGCAAGCAGCAGTTGGACAACCGGCTGCTCATACCCACCCACCACCCTTCGCCACATTCCCTCCCCCTTCCCTTCTCCCATCCCTGCCTGGCGCACGGTGTATGGGGAGCAGGTGAAGGAGGTGGCGGGCAAGGTGGAGGTGGGAAAACTGCAGGTGGACAATCAACTGCTCACGGCTCGCAACCCTGTTGTGCTCTCGCGCACCCAGGTCAGAAGCCTCGGCTCAGATCTCCCTGTGCTTTCTTGCAACATGCTTGAGTTTCCCCCCCCCCCCCCCCCCCACCCATCTCCCTCTCGCGATTGTAAGAAATATGTTGACTCTCTCACACTCGCGGCACACTGACTTTCACATCAACCCTACAGTAATTCTTCTCTTTGCATTGCCCCGTGTTCTCTCCCTCCCAGGCCTTCCCCGCAGAAGCCCTGTTCATGGAGCAGGGCAAGGAGCTGGCGAACCAGGCATCGCTAGCGAGCATGCTGAGCACGGACCCCAAGGAGAAGGAGAAGGCGTTCGTGTCAGTGGAGTTTCACGCGCCTGCTGCAGCACCCCTCCATCGTCTACTACCGCCGCTTTCTCTTCCAGCTTCAAGAGTTCGACCTGGTTTTGGAGGAGGACTTTGTGGACACGGCAGTGGCATACCTGCAGCAGCTACCCATGGAGGACCTGTGGCAGGATAAGGAGAAGCGGGGTGGGGAGGAGGAGGAGAAGAAGCAGGTGACGAGGATTTGGTGGAGGATATGACCGGGGCTCCCATCACCAAGACTTACCTGGTCTGTGTGGAACCTGAGTTGGAGCGTTTCACCCTTTTTCTACCCTCTCTCCCCGCAACTTTTGTCCTCCGGAAAAAAAAACATGATCCAAGCAAATTGCACATACCCTTTTCCCCTTCCCCTCTTCCCCGTGCCTTTTTTCTCCTTCTCCTCTCTCTCCAGGCACGCGATGCCACCATGGTTTCCCCGATGTCTCGCCGGAACTTAGTTAAGTCGGAGCCGTTGGAGCCGTTAGTGAACAGCAGCAGCTGGGTGGCGGGCAACCAGGGCCTGCGGTGGGTACTTTGAGCGCTTCCAGGTGCAGTCCATGCGCATCAACGTCACGCTCGTCATGAACCCCATCAAGAGCGACGCGCCACCGCCCTCTGGCAGCAGCTCCGAGTGGCACCTCCGAACCACTGCGTCTACTGCTGGCTTCCCACTCATCTCGCTCACACCGAGCCCCGCTTAGACTCAACAGGTGTGTAAGTACAGTCCGGTGAGGTGGGAGTAACTCTGAGTTGCACCTCAGGACCACGGCTTCCTCTGCGGAAGTTCCCCCTCATCTCGCTCACTCGAGCCCCGCTGAGGCTCAACAGGTGTGTACAACGTGTTATTCTCCATCCTCATGGCAAAGCTCGGCTTCAGCTCCGAGTGACACTTCAGAACCCCTTGAGAATTCTGAAAAGTGATTTCCATATGGCAGCTTGTGCTGAATTTCC